CCCACCACTCCTCACATTGCCTGTGTTCCTCAGGCCCCGAAGCCAGGCCTGCACCCCCAACACACACACACACACACACACACACACACACACACACACACACACACACACTCTCTCACACACTCTGACACAGCCCCACAGCAAGCTCCCCTCCTAACCCCCTACTGCTATCAAGAAAGCCATTGTCAAATGCATGCACTCGAAATACTCGAAATGCTGAAAGACTGCGTTTTTATTTTTCAAGGGCCCATTCCTAATCACAAGAGGCCACTTAGTCTGAGTGGGGCCCAGTAATGTTGATTAATGATTATGTATCTCTCATGAGAGTTAGGAAGGCCAGCTCCCACCTCAGCACCCTCCTGAGCTGCACATTAATCAGGACCAGCCGCAGGAGGAGTCAGAGCTGTGACCACTGACCTTCGGCAAGAGCACTGCAGGTCCCAAGGATCACTCACGGTGCCTTTGCGCAGCACCCTCGCAGCAGGCCCTGCTCCGTCCCTCCCTGCCTCCGCCTGTCTAGGGGAGTTAGCCTCCCCCCACCCAGTGCTGACTCTGATCACAGGCCAGGAGGATTTGAATATTAATAAGATCCTGCACTCCTCCAGATTGTTCATCTTAATGATTTTTAAGGGTTTTTCTTTAATTCCCTTTCTCTGTGTGACAGATACAAAAATTATTTAGTGCATGTTGCCAGCTTCCTTCCCCACCACATCTCTAAAGGAAATTTGATCTTTGCATAGTCAGTCCCCGCTCCCCTCCGCCTCCCACCATTGGCCTCCACTTCCTCCCGAGGAGAGTTCTGTCTGGCCAGCCCTGTCTCCAACTTTGGGGAAGGTGGACTCGAGAGAATGGGCTGAGAGTGACCAAACTCAAGGTGAGGAAGTAAAAGGAACAGGGGAGAAAGTTGAGATTCAAAGATTTGGGTGTAGGGAGGAGTTTTTTTGCAGGTGGGGAATCAGGAACTCGAGCATGGCCTCAGGTGTGAGAGAAAAAATAAAGAGGATTTTTAAGATGGGGGCTGGCTGGTTGGCTCAGTTGGTTAGAGGCAGTATTATAACACCAAGGTCAAGGGTTTGGCCAGCCACCAAAAATAAATAAATAAATAAATAAATAAAGATACATGGTGGTGAAGGAGGAGACACTCATACACCACACCACTGGGGGGCTGTAGATTGGTGAAACCACTCTGGAAACCTGATGTTTTCTACTATGACAGAACGTGTTCCTACTCTGTGACCCAACAATCCCACTTATAGGAATCAGGTATGGGAGCTATAAACCCATGAGATACGCAACCCTATGCTCACCAAAGATGTATACTAAGATGTTTATAGCAGCACTGTTCATTATATTCTGAAACTACCCAAATGCCCATCAACAGTAGACAGATAAATAAATCATGGTGTATTCATACAGGGGAACACTACATAGCAACAAGAATGAAAGCACTACAATTATATGCAACATGGATGACTCCCACAAACATGATGTCCAATAAAAGAAGACACAAAAGATTATGTATAGTATGAATCCATTTCTAGAATATTCAAAAATAGGCAAAAGCTAATCTAGATGGGTCACAAGTCAGGATAGTGCTCACTTGGGGGGGTTGGTGACTGCAAGGAGGTTCAAGAGGGCTTCTAGGGGGCTGATGATGCTGTCTATTCTGATCAGGGTGCTAGTAACACAGGTGTATTCAGTGTAGAAATTCATCAAGCTGCATACTTAATGATTTGTGCAATTTTCTGAATGTTTAAAATTTATTATAAAATATGTTGTTTCTTTAAAAAGCAGCAACCCAGCTGCCAAAACAAATATACAAACAAAAAAGCAGCAGCATTGTAAATGGATCTGCTCTTTAGACTTCTCCTAGATTTGAATTGCTGTATAATTGCTTTTGTTGGCTGGATTTTATTTATGTGAATGTGATACTGTGCTGAGACAATGTTTTGTGTTCTTTCAACTTCATTTGATTTTCCTTCAATGCACACAGAAGATATACATTTCTGAGCTTCCCTTGTGGTGAGCTGGGACCACGTGATGAGTGCTGGCCACTGATGTTTGCTATTTTCAGCCTGGCCCCTAAAACCTTCTGCACAATCCTCCCTTGCTCTTTCCCATTCTGTTCACCACTTGAGAAGAATTTAGTGGAGGGCTCTTGTGGTCCTGGGAGATGGTGGAGCCACTGATAGTTCTTACTATTGCACAAAAAAGTTAAAAATTTCTGCACTAAATGAAAGGAGTCTGAGTCCCTGAATAACCACATGGAGCAGAGAGAGCCCCCACCTCATTTCCCATCCTCACCCTCACACCCACCATCCCACCCTCTTACCCACAGTGGACTGTGATTTGAACAAGAAATATATCTTTGTTGTGATAGGAGATGGAGATTTGGGGATTGTTTGTTACAGCTGTTAACCTAACTTGACTCTCTGACTAATTAATATACAATATGCCTTACTTGAGTCATGGGTCTCCAAGTAGAACCTTCTGTCCTGTAAATGGGAATGGAAGTGAACATTCTTAGGGAAAAATACTTACTCCTCACTACTTGCATTTCCAACGAGGAGAGGCAATTTCCCAAACAGGAAGAGTAAATAAGAAACTTCATTTTTCTCCCAAGGGGAGGACTTGCGTGATTGGTAAGTAGATGAAGTAACTGAGCTCAGTCTTTGTAAAGCCAGATGGACTCGGGAAGCTGCCTTCTCTGCTCTTCCCATGGCAAGCTCACAGCAGTAAACACTGTCTTGCCTAGCTGGGCCAGTGGCCAGGGGAGTCTTTCAATTTCTGGGGTTCAGTTTTAGGAAGTCCATATGGTACACTCCTAAGTTATATCTTCCAATCAGCCTTTCTCAGCAATGAAGCTAACTTTTGATCTCCACCTAAGAATTGTGTTTATCTCTCAGTTGGTTCCACACTGAGGAGGAAAAGGAGAGAGTTACTTATGGGCCCCTAAAAAACCAACAAAGACTAGGAAAAGAACTGTTCTCTGCAGCAATGGTCCAGAAATAAAGCCAAATTAGAAAGAAAAAACAATCCTTTTTAACAACAGAAGCCAGGTAAGTTTTATGGGATTTGTTAAAGAATGGGGATTGGGCTGCAGTCGAAACAACAGTAGCCGTGACCCCTCTTCCTTCCCAATTTAGACCAGCTTCACTTGTCTTTTACGTGTTAAGATTTGAGATTTCATTAGAGCAAAGAGTTCTGTCTAAAAATAGTTTGAAAATCTTTTATTTAGATAATCTTTTAGGTACCCTCTGGCTTAAAGGATCTTTGAGCTTCTATAAGAAACCCAAAATTCCATTCTTGTAATGTTTTGTGAATGACAGTGGTCCATGACAAAAGTAGACTGATACTGGGATGCAAAGAGAAACCTGGTTGTCAGCTTCTAAATTATTTAAAGCTTTTTCAAGGTTCAAAGAAGACATGCCTCCAGGCTACCTTAGCTCAGGGGACAATGGTGCTCAACCTTCCTTTCTGTGCTGGAGAGGGCTTGAATGGCTCACCTGAAGGGAAGAAATATGGTCACCAATGTCCCTTGTTAGGCCAGAAATAGGATTGAGCGTGCTCCAGGTATGAGAGGTAGAAAGGTGCACGCTGCATTGGAGGATTTGGGAGAAGATAGTTGGGAGGTTATTACAGTACTTTAGGGGAATGTATTAGTTTCCTAGGGCTGCTGTAACAAATTACCACAAACTTGATGATGTAAAACAATAGAAATTTATTCTCTTAGAGTTCTGGAGGCCAAAAGTCTGAGATCAAGGTGTCAGCAGGACCACACTTCCTCCAAAAGTTGTTGGGAAGATTCTGTTCTTTGCCTCTTCCAGCTTCCGGTGACTCCAGGAGTTCCTTGGTTTGCTTGGCTAGTGTCTCCATCACTCTAATCTCTGCCTCTGTGTGTCTGCGTTTTCTTATCTTCTGTCTAAGCTTCCGCATGTCTCTAAGAGGACACTTGTCACTGGATTCAGAGTCCACCAGATAATCCAGGATGACCTCTTCATCTCAAGATCCTTAACTACATCTGCAAAGATCCTTTTTTCCAAAGAGTCACATTTATAGTTTCTGGGATTAGGACATGTACATATCATTTGGCACCCCCCATTTAACCCACTACAGGGAGAATGCTAGAATTTTTTTTTTTTTTAGCAGAATCACCTGCTTCCCTGACTTAGAGTCTTGCTTTGTATCCAGTGAATATCTTTGATGAGGCTTTCTAAGGTGGGTAGGTCTGATTAACTGCAAGGCTTTTGTTTTGCTGAATGTAGAGATTTGGGGCCAGAATTAAATCGACCAAGACATTAAAGGGGATTGGAAAGGCCACGTGGGGGAAGATGGAGAGAAAGGGAGGAAGCCAGTTGATAGCTAAAAAGAATTGACAAATATTTATCTCAAAAAGCCAATGTGTGCCAAGCTTTGAGCTAGGTATTGGGGATGACATGGGGAACCGGACAGACAGTCCCTGCTCTCCAGTGAGGGGTCACTTTTGCTGTGATGTTCAACATCAACCCTTTTCACCCTCTCCCCACAAAATCTTCAGCTAAATGTACATTGCTTACTAATGCTCTGTAGATGAGATAGAAAAAGGAGATGGGAGAAAATACTGTCTTGTTTCTGAGTTGGAAAAAAGCAAAGCCAGAGAGCCAGAGGCCCCTCCCAGGAGGCTAAACATGTGATTTACATACTGTAGTGCGCTGGGGGGCTTTTTAGACATTCAGCATTCACTTCCTCCCTCTTATGGCAAAAGCAGTTTGATTTGCTTTTGGAAAATTACCTCTCCCCTATAGTGGCTAGTTTTTCCCCGAATTCTTAGCCAGAGGAGAGGCACAAGGTCCAAGCTAGGCCAATAAGACTCAAGAGTTGAATCCTAAAGGGAGAGATATAAGAACAGAATCAAAGGTGGAGCTGGTTTAGCCCAGCGAGATGTGGTGAGATCAATCCCTGCTCTCTGGATCCCTGGTCCCCTTTTCATGTGAGGTTTCTCAGGAGGTCCTTGGAATCTGTGAGCTAGTCTGTTTCCTTCCAATAAATTCCCTTCTTGCTTAACTTAGCCAGAGTCCTTTTTGGGTACCTGCAAAGAACCCTACCTGATGCATGCGATCATGAAAAATCCCAATGCCTCCTCTTCAGTAAGGGGTCTGGGCACCTCCAGGGAAGAACCTCAGACCTAGAGGTGAATAAGAGCCTGGCTGTGGGGACAGATGTATCTTAGATTCTTACAGCCAGGTCTACTACTTCTATAACAAGACAGTTAAGATCAAAACCCAAAGGTTCCCTTAAGCTAACAGTGAGTGCCCTTAATTAACGGCGACACTTACTGTATCACTGCCAGCCATCAGGAAAAGGCCAACACACTGACAGAGAAGAAAAGAATATCAGATTCATCTGGGTCAGGTTAAGGCTTCAAATGACGAATTGAGTTTAGTAAACATTTCCTAAATGACCCTTACACCTATGACTAAAATTCAATTCTGCACTCCCTGTGGGTCTCTCTGGCCCCTATGACATGGCAGAGGTTTCTTCTTTCCAAATACATGTGCATTTGTACAGGCCACAGGGGAATTCCTCAGGGGAGAGAAAGCTAAATTTATATCTTCGATTAATCTTCCCAAATGTTCTCGCCCGCCTTCAGTCTGTACCAAGTCTTTTTGCCCAAATCAGCCCAAGTGCTCACACCATTAGATATGGTAGACAGAAGCTGCTTTGCTTTTTCTTAAAAAAAAAAGTATTTTACTTTTGAGTCCATTCTTCCCGTTATCTCCAACCTCTTCTCATATCCTGTTTCAGGGAGCTACGATTTCCTTACGTGAATAACAACAAAATCCTTTAATGCTCCTGGGAGACCAGGCCATTAGCTCTCTCCCTAAGCAGGCCAAATTCCTATCCAACTTATTTTCTAGCCCAAATTTCGGTTCAGTGCATCAAACACATAAGCACCTATATGTGGCAAACCTGCACTATGCACTAGGATACGGCCATGAAAAATGCGCAGTCCCTTCCCTGATGATGCTTACAGACCCTGGCACAGACACACTAAGCAAATGATTACAGGTGTAATGAGTGTCAGAAAGCAGAGATCAGGGTGCCAGTGGGCCACACGGGAAGACATCTAACCTTGCCTTCGGGTCTAGATAGGCCTCTATTTGATGAAATTATGTTTAAGCTGGGCCCTACAGAATGGTGATGGAATCAAGAGAATTGCTTCTCCTTCACTGGGGCCTTCTGCAAAGCTGTCTCCATTTCAGGAAGAGATCATGTTCTAAAATTTCATTTTCAAGCTGAGGGATTTGTAGCTCATAATGTATTTTTCCACAAAAATACACTTACCAGTACTGACTAGGTTTCCAGGCTGGTCCACCAGCGTCTAATTATCTACTGTGTGCTGCACCAACGATACCCATAAATAGCACTTACCCAGCTTGTTTCTATGGGAAACACACTTCAAGCCCTGATGTCCAATGGAAACCCCTTCACATAGCCCACCACTTCCTCATTAAGTCCTAGCAATTCTCTCAGGGAGGTCCCTCCAATCCAGCCCCCAATCCCACTGTCTTGGCTCAGGCCAACCCTTACCTTAAATCTGCCCCACAGCAATCAGCACAAAACTTGGTCCTCTTATCTTCAGCTGCTCCTCTCCCCAGCCTTCTCCCCTACTCCCCGTGCTGCAGCCAGTTACTTTTTAAAAGAACAAATGTGAAAACTTCTCAATGGTTCCCCATTGCCCACAGATTGAAGTTCAAACTATGACAAAAAAGCTTTTCAAGATTAAGCCCCCATCTACCTTCCCAGCCTCTTTCTCTGCCACTCCCTAGATGTATTCTACATGTCCAACCACAGTGCTCTTTCCAAAATTTCCTGCCCTTGCCGTTTCCTATTCCTAGAAAGAATGGTTTTCCCCTATCTCAGGCTGGAATTGCCCATCAGTCTTTCAAGACCAAGTCCTTCTGGACAAGACATTGTTTACTTATTGCTATTCTGGCAGTGTGTCAAGTTGTATTGCAATTACTTGTGGTTTATTCAACAAATATGAGTCCCTACAATGGGACAATGTCTGACTCAGCAGAAAGAACATACTCTGCAATAGACCATATCGTTTGTATTTGCTTTGGATTCAACTGAAAAGCAGCAGCAAAGGCCTTAACTCAAACTTGGGTTCATNTCAAGTTGTATTGCAATTACTTGTGGTTTATTCAACAAATATGAGTCCCTACAATGGGACAAGGTGTCTGACTCAGCAGAAAGAACATACTCTGCAATGGACCATATCGTTTGTATTTGCTTTGGATTCAACTGAAAAGCAGCAGCAAAGGCCTTAACTCAAACTTGGGTTCATATCTTGCTTCTGGCACCTTCTAGCTACTTGATCTTAATCAAGTGACTTATTGAGTCTTAAGATTCCTTCTCTGAAAAATGGGGATAATACCACCTATTTCACAAGCTGGGTTATATATTGGTTCCCAAATCCAGCTGATTATCAGAATCACTGGGAGCTTTAAAAATATGTGTAATGGGGGCCGAGCCTGTGGTGCACTTGGGAGAGTGCAGTGCTGGGAGCGCAGCAGTGCTCCCGCCGCGGGTTCGGATCCTA